CTTCAAGAAAGTTAAGTGTCTTCATATATTTTATAGTTAATAAACTGAATGCAATATTTAGTATCTTCATATACTATTTATTGTTGTCTCTGTCTTAAATTCCCAAATTATTTTGTATTTTGTTGAAGTCTTGTGTAGACTTTTGTATAGAATCTGTCAAGTTATAGTCGTCATACTATAGTTGAGCAACTTTTGTTATTACTGTGATTAAAGGAAAACTACAGGTTAACAATATTTGTTCAAGTTTATGTACCTGTCAGCACTGATCCAAGTCTGTTACTTCTACTAATACTGATCTGAGTTGTTTTGATGATATGTTATAGTTAAATATATCGAGCAAAATTTTTATATTATTTAAAATAATAAAAATAATTTAATTTTAATTAGGAAAAAAAAAATTCAAATACCAAAATGTGTGGTAATTATTTATCTACTGATAAGGAAATTGATGAAATAATCAAATCTTGTATTCCAGAAAATACTTGTAAAGCTACACAAAAGTGAGTAAAAACTCTAAATAGGTAGTGAAATAATGTTAGATATTGTTATGTATTGAAACAGTTACTAGTAAAGAACAGCTTGAAAAGAAAATGACAGAATTTTTTGTAATATATGAAAATTCAAGATGAAAGCAATTATAGTCCCTTTTTATTAGTTAATGATTATAATTATTTAAGTAATTATATTTATAAGCATTCAGATAGTAGTCAAAATTTTATAATTAACAATAAAAATAAATTTTTTTTATTGTAGAAAGTTCTTAATAGAAAAATAAAGGTTCTAAAGCAATCTGGAAAGGTTACTAAGCATCATGATCTATTGTTACCTGATGAATTAAAAACAATATTTAATCATAACACATTGTCAATTAATATGGCCAAAGAACTTTAATATCAGATGTTTATGTGGAGTTGTTTCCTTTTTGCTCTATGTAGTGGTAAACATAGTCAAATAAAGGTTATGCAGTTTACTTTTCTTAGTAATAGAGGAATTCAGTTTACAAAATTTTCTTAGAAAAATGATCCCAGTGGCATTAAAAAAAAATTTGGATTCACTTATAATACTAGTATCTGTAGATCCTGAAGGGTATTTAGGACCTGTTCATGATATTAAGTTATATTTAAGCAAAAGACCCACAAATTGCACATGTTAATTTTTACATCTCAAAATTAATAAAAACATTCATAGTATTTTTTTTTTTATTTATTTCAATTGAAATATTATTTTACAGTAATTTATAATTATTTAATATAGAATATAATAATGACAAGTGGTATCTCGATGTTAAATTGGAAAAAATTTGTGCAGTAATTTTATGAAAATATTTGTTTTGATGTTGAAATAAATATCAAGAATTGTGATATCATTAATTATTTAGAAAGAATTATACCAATTACATACTTGTTTCATGAAGGTATTCTGATTGTTACCTTGATGTCAATAACTAGCCATAAAAGTGAATTGTCATATCATATATATTTAAGGCCAAGTGAACAACAAAATAAAGATGCTTTGTCTACATTGATTAGCATTGTTAATCTTTTGGAATCTCAGGATAATGATGGTGTTGAAGATTTTTTTAATAAAAAACAAGATCTGATAAAGTTTTTGATTATTTTAAATTAAATTTTATATATTTACATATTAAATACATATTTATTTTTTAGAACCCTAATAATTATAACTCTTCTGGCTTTCATGTTCCACCAAAAAGCTCAGTATATTCTGAGTTTTGAAGCGTTTTAAAAAACAGCACAAAACCAAGTTTATTTTCTTATATCAATGCTACTAAAAAAATCCAACTCTTGGTGGGAAAAGGCTGTTACGAGCATCATAATCTAGTCTGCAAAATACAGCAAATAGTAAGTAAGATACTACAATCATTAATAATTATTATGCTAATCATATTACAATTAATTAATATTGAAAATATAATATAATTTAAATAAATTAATTAATAAAGCAGCAATCTAGCTTTTTAAATGTTTTATTATTTTTTTTTGAAGTATTAAAATATTAAAAGTCATACAACTACAATTTTAAAACATCTCTTCTCAGTAAAGTCATTTGTGCAATCATAACAATTTAAAAAAACCCTACCACCTCAATAAAGTTATTTGCACAACTATGACAATTTCAAAAAAAACCTGTTTGTGCAATTATGCTATTCATAAAATATAAACATGACATATCATAAAATATAGATATTACTATAAAATATAGATGTGACATATTATAATTACTATAAAATAACAAATTTATTTATGAAGCTGATCATAGTAAAAAAAAAAATAAAATAAGTAATCTAATAATATAGTATTATAATATAGTATTATAATAATATTTAATTAAAGAATTCTAATAACTTATCTTGTTTTATATATTTGATAGCTAGAATAACTAAAATATTTAAATATCTAAAATGATTAGAACTAAAGTAATCTAATAATAAATTATTGCTATAATATATAATCAAAAAATATTTAATAATCTAACTTGCTTAATTAATTTATATTTATGTATTTAAATAAAATACAAGTATAACTCTTAACTTCTTACTTTGCATATAAGCAATTTATTATATTAGTATTGTTAAGAAAAGAATTAACAATATAGTATAAAACTAAAGTTCAATATACTAAATATAAAACAAATTCTTTAGAGTATATAAGCATGCATTTTATATTAGATTTAGTAAAAAACTAATATTTTATTTATTTTTTCTTTTATGTGTATATGCACTATTATATTATATATTATATTTATTATATATAGTATAGTATAGGCTACATGTAGCTATAAGCTATATTTAAGTTTATTTTTATATTATTTATAAATATATTAATTTTTAATTTTATTTTTATTTTTTTTAATTTTTTTTTTTTTAAGATAAGGTTTTGCTCATATCTTTATTGATTTGTTAAAGAAGCCTTTAAGAGCTTCTCTAAATATAAATTACAAACTTATTCCAATTACAAATATATTACAAGAATGGAGCGCAAACTATAAACAGACTTCTATCTAATTTATTTGCAACCTAAACCTACTAGAGTGGTTAAAACTCACATAGATTTGATAATATAAGATATTGTTTGTAGAGTAGTTATATAGTATTCAGTATATAGACCAAAGGTCAATTTTATGAAGTGCATTTCCTAGTGGTGGGCAGTTATTATCCTCTTTATGAAGTTGGTTAGACAGACTGCACAGTTGGCAAACTGTATAGTGTAGGTTACGATGTTAATTAGAGTAGTTATAGGATCTTCTGTGAGTTGCAAATCTGTTATTTGGTGTAATGTTATTGTCTTTTTTTCATTGTGCTAGTTTAGTGGTGTATGGTTTCCATATGTGGTCATATATTTTTTGTGATATTTTGGTAAGCAGTTTGGTAATTATTAAAATTGCAGTTTGATGGGATGTAGTATAGGGTTTAATTGTAGTAATTAGATTTGTTGACATATATCCTTGTAGTGTTGTATATATGTTGCTTTGTTCTCAATGAGTATTGTTGACTGATAGGCTGTTGTGTTGAATTAGTAAATTATATAATTGTTGTAATTGTAATTGTGTAATTTCTAATGATAAGTTATTATTAAGGATTTTAGAAATTGTTTCTGAAATAATACTAGTAAGATTTGTTGGGTTAGAACACAGTAGCCAGTGTAGTAGGTGTTCTGATGTCTGGCAAGTAATGCAGTTGTTGTGCTAAAAGCTGTTTGGATATTGTTCATGGAGATGGTATAGTGTTGGTAGAATGTTAAGTAGTGTTTTGATCTTAAATAATTTGCTTTAATTAAGTGAAAAGTTAGTATAGTTGTTTGTTCATTTGGTATTGTTGTTAAGATATAACTATGTTGCATTTCAGTCAATTTGTGATTACAGTGGAATAATGTTGCTTATATGTTGTTGTGATGACCACATAGCAATTATATGTGCATTACAAATATTTTTAATAGCTTGTCTAGTCAGTTGTTCGATTATGTATTTTCTATATTTTAAAGTATATGAGGTGTTGTATAGATTATTGTATATAAAGTCAAGATATGTAGTAGAGTTGTGGTTTGTTGCTAGCTTATCAACTTCATTGTTAAATATGTTGTTACTATATGCAGATACTTTGTGAAAAGTAACTGTATATTGATAAGATTGAATTAGGTTGAGTAATAAATGCCAAATAGGCCAATATGAATAAGAATATTGTTTGTATATTAGGATTAAATAACTGGTAATTTTGTTGAATTTTGCAATAATTGATTAAGAGTCTATATAGATTTGTATATTTCTGTTACATGGACATGTACTGTTATCTGGAGAAGTCACGTGGCACATGACTATAGCTACTTCAAATTAGGGTAACCCAGTCCACTTAGACTATTTCGACTATGTAGACTACTACAGCTATGTAGGACACGAAGGCCATGTCAGATAAGTATAAGTTGAAAACAAAGTAGTAGACATAGTAGACTTAGTAGTTGTAGCAGACATAGAATAAAAAATGTAAATAAAGAATTTTAAGATAAATAAAGGCTGTAAAGGCTATAAAAAAAGTGAAAGAACTTGTACTTTGCTTTATTAAAATAATAACTGATCCCTTACATCATAATAAATATATAAATATCTTCCTTAATACATTAACTAATCGCTAAGTACCTAGACCATAAAAACCCGCTTTTTGCAATTTATCTGTTCTAACTCGTAATATTGTCAAACCCCTATCTGGCTGTTGTATCCTAAAGTACCAGGATCAGTCATGGTCACTTGAGTCCAACTATCCAAAGAAGTGTGATAGTTGAGGTTGTATATGTAGTCCAATTACCCGAAGTAGTGAGGTAATTGAGGGTTAAAGTTAGTAGACAGCTCAAGCAAGAAAAACTACAGTACAAGTAAAGAAGAAATACTTACCTATGGACCCAAACCACCAACCAAATCTAAACACCTCTTTTTGACTAAGCCAATCATAAGTTACATGAGATTTTGGATTGTGGAGTGACTGACTTGCCATGATGCCCGATTTTAGTACATATAGTAGATAGTATTGCTATGAGTTCTGCTTTGTAAAATAATAGCCAGAGTTTAATATGGAAAGAGTATAATTCGAGTATTGTTTTATTGTGAATTTGTACCTATCTGATGTTCATAGAGCATCTGTAGTAGTAAGATTAGTAACTGATCCATCTGTATAAAATATGAAGTTAGTGTATCTCTTATTGAGGTTAGCATTTTCCTGAAGTTTAATAGAAAAAGAATTGACTTTAAATAGGTTAAATATAGGTGTATTAGTGAGTGTAATAGCAGGTAATAGTGGAATTGATAGAGGTGATCATAAAGCAATGGAGTAAATAAGGTCTAGATAATTTGCATTTAAGTTAAGTTCTTTTGTATTGTTGTGTTTTTTCCATCCTAGAAATTTTGTTGCAGAATTGACTAGAATATTAAAAGTGCAATAGTTTTGAATTCTGTTGGAGTTGTATATGCATCCTGTGCATCATATACAATTGATAGTTGGAAGTGGGTAAAGGCTGGTGTAGAAGAGGTCATGTTTGGTCAGCCAGTATGTATTTAAAATAGTATTGTTATTAGTATTTTATTTGCATGCTTTTCTAATAATTATTTCTTGGTAGTTATAGTC